GAGGATAAGGGTCAAACAGAAATTACTTAGATTTTTTTTGTGTGTGTGTGTGTGTGTGAGAGAGAGAGAGAGAGAGAGAGATTTGGAGTATAATATGGAAATGGAACGATATCATAACAACCCCAAAAATAATGGAAGACAACAATCAGAGGCAGTCTTCAACTTCTTGTTGCATAACAGCCATTGGAGAAGAACTTAATATTAGGGGAGTAGAAAAAGCTACAAAGTTAAATTTCAGGATTCATCAATTGGGACAGATCAGAGCCAGCTCAAAAAGAAAATAATAGCAAACAAGTCTTAAATGCATACCCCAAAGGATTCCCATATCATCATCTTCAATTGATAAATGGATGTGGATCCAGAAACATTTAGGTTCACAGAGTTTCCATATGTTGCCTTCCGTGACCGCTTGGAAGTTCGGCGATTCGGATCTGAAATGCTGCCTGATGCTTCTAGGATTGATTTTGGAGGTTCCTTGCCATGAACAAAACAAACACATATATCCTCATTTGTGTAGTTAAGTTTCCTCATCAATTCAGTACTTTCCCTTTCACCAATACACTCCTCGCAGACCTACGCAGAACAAAGAAACTTGATTACATCTGAATATACCACATCTGCATCAAATAAGCATTAGCCAGCTCAACAATATGCTAGCAACAACCTCTTAAAAAGGCAATACTAATAATCCTAAAGAATATGGATTTACAGACAACAGTGTCCAGATCATATTTTAGATCTGCATTGCAACTTTAATACAGTTGAAGACAGTTTAAATTTATAAATGTGACCCCTATCTAAAAGCTCAAGGTTAAGATAGTCTCAAAGCCCAGCAATAAAATTGGGTTCAAGTCTCACTGCCACCCATTTAATAAAAACTGTACACATGTTAGGCCATTTGAATGATAATGCTACGTGTATAATAATAATTAATCTGAACAGCAAAAGGCTATGCTTATTTTATGAGTTACATGCACAAGACATAGCACCAAAATGTAAAAATGAAGCGGGTAGATATACTTACAGATATAAAGCTCGATAATTAAAAATAATATAAACTTATAAAGTAAACCAATAACTTAATATAACTGCTACAATGATGAGAACTTTTTCAACTAAAAAATAATTAGATTCAACGTTCTCCACATGAAGGAAACAGCATACATCTAACATGTATGCACGAGATGATTCTGGTTCATCTCTTTCATATGAACTGATCCATCTTCCAGTTAGTGATATGTAATTTTTTTTAATTATAATGATGACCAAAGACTATATAATAAAAGAGGGAGGAATATGAAGTGTCTTAGAGGCATGTTTCAGACTTTGCTCATGATGGTACTTTTTCCCATCTGATTATCAGCCTACATATTAGGAAACTTTAGTCGCGTGACAAACAATAAGGACATTTATGACCCAATTCATAAAATAGGTAACAAATGCAGGGAATAACAAAAACTGAACCTGAATATTTTATCATTTTATCATCCAACACAATTATAAAGAATATGGATGCAGTTCTAAAATTACCGGAGGAGATGTCTTAACAATAGGCCTTCTAGATGACTCCAAATTTACTTCGTAATGCATATTCACATGCTCCTCAGAAATTGGCATCTCTTCACAAGGTGCAACCATATCATCTTCCGAGGAATTATTGATCTCAATTCTAGCAGAAATTCCTCTGGATATGATACCACCCCAATCTTCGCAAAGTAATTTCCAATCATCTTCAGCTATTATGGTTAGCGCATCTGTCTGTAGTAGAAAAGAAAACAATACAAAATTAGATTTTTAAGCAAGCTGACTTGACTGACCTGAAAAGGTAAGGGAAAAATATCTTGGCTCATAATGTGAACGAGATATTTAAGTCCAACAGGCCAATATAGAAAAAAATTGCTTCAAGAGACCTCAGAATTTGAGTATCTTAATGAAGAATATTAAAGCATTCTAGAATTTATTTATTTTGTCCCAATTTTTTCATTTGCGTAGGTTGTGCAAGGAAGGGATGAACGGAATAGCAAACTTACAGTGGATGCCCTCTGAAAAATAAGCCCACGTTTCCAGAGGAGATCAGGAGGCCTTTCCAGAAGTCTAGAGTGCTGGTTTGCAAGGAGGAAAACGTTAGGAGAACGAATTCATGACAATACAGCACACAGTTAGAAATTTGTTTGTCTGTATTCCGTTCATTACACTATTCTAATTCTAAGCTACATAAACATAATTATTTAACAGATCCCACCACTTAAATAAGTACACGCTACCAACTGCATATGATAAAAAAATTGAGTAATTGCTAAAATGTTTTATTAAGATTCGAAATTTTACATTACGGTGAGAACCCTTCTCTCCAACCTTAAGGCTGTACAGGACCAAAAAGTCCCTTTTCTTCAAACAGAAGAAAGATTATCAATGAAATAAACAATGTACTTCATCAAAGTATCCTTCGAAGAGCAACTAAAGATGAAATCAATGATGAACAAAGTTGTGGAAAACCTCTTTACACATCAGCATGTCAACCGCAAATAAACAATGTACTTAATCAAAGTTTCCTTCGAGAAAATTTAATCTTATGTTAGTAAAGAGCAACTAAAGACGAAATCAATGATGAAAAAAGCTGTGGAAAACCTCTTTACACATCAGCATGTCGACCACGCTGTCCAGAGTTTCAAGTTCTATAGAAACAACATTCTTTCCACTTGCATTAATGTAACTTCTCCATTTTGACAGCCATGATGAAGGCAACAAATAGTATCTGCTATCCTGATAAAGAGCCATATTTTTATTCATGGCCAATTTTTCATGAGTCTGCCGTTGCTTTAATTTGAACTCTCTGCAGAATACAACACTAAGTAAGCCACAATAAATCTATGTTAACTTAGAACTATAAGATTCTCAGAGAACCTTAATGTATCTTCTGAAGACACAGCTTCTTTAAGTTCAATACTGCAGAGGGCACAAGGCTCAGAGTCTGAAGAGAAAGCTGAACAACCCACATCATCATCTGGCTTCACAACCATAGCATTTTCCTGAATAAAATGCCAAAGATTCTCCGGAACCAATATTCGTTTAGCACTAGGGCCTAGATCAGGCATAAGTTCCCCGTGGGGGCACCTAATTGAAGCAGTCGGTCCGGAATCAGCTTCACATGGAGATTCTATGTTTTTCCTGCGTAGCCACTGCTGCAACCTACCGAGCATATGCCCACATAAAAGATATAATAAGAAAATAGGTACAAATGCCGCCACTGTTTCGTAAGGAGTCAGATTAATTTTCAATTCACCTAGACAGATAAAACATAAGTGCAGCACGCCAAAAGAAATGGGCGGTAAAAGAGAAACTACATGATCAAAACAAACATATTCGGTAAAAGAGAAACTACATGATCAAAACAAACATATTCTCAGGACAAAACTTGACGCAGGCCAGAAACATTTTTCAACAAATAATGCAAATGCCAGAAAGAATGGAGAGCCTGCATCCCTCAAGCTTCTTATGGCCCCAACCCTTGGACCAACCAACCAGAAGAATCCGATTTCAAAGGTTGGACATTTACATTCCTTCCCTAACTATTTCACACAACCTGTGAGGGCTTCAAGGTCAAGCATTAAAAATCAATGGCACTAATTCATCTTCCATCAAACTTTTGCCTTCTTTTGAAGGCTTAAGACTTAGTTTAGCCATCAATCTTTTCTGATTTCAAGTCAGTTATTGTGCTTAAATTCTGTGTCATGTCAACCTAGATAATCCATCCACCCCTTGCCTTGTTGAAATTAAAAGGTTATTGTTCTACTTCAAGTCTATTAATGTTTCCCAAAATTCAACTTCAAAAAAGATCTTTTGTCATCGAAGGGACAGTCTGAAATCTATACATTTTACAGCGTCAAGTTTATTATTGAGGTATAAAGAATGATATGATCCACTACAGTGGAGTCTACATCAAGTGGTTATTTATTCTACAACTTTCTTATGAACAATTTTTCTATTTTCAGTTATCTAATACAAAAACAATTCAGAATCCACAGGGCTTATGCCTATAACTCAAGGGTATAGACTTATGCCTCTCGCCACAAGACAAACCTTGCTTCATAGATAAAATACAAATCAAAAGTAACCTGAAAAGATCATATGAAGGCGATATAGAAACAAATGGGTGACAGGAGGGACCAGTCCACAATACTGTAGATACATATCATACCATGTCTTAGATATATAAAACAGTCTCCCATCGAAACACTCCCTGGCAAGGGCTGCCTCTGCGAGTTCTTTCATCAGTGATCTCTGATCCCTATAGCTGTCAGCACGAGCCTTAGTGCGAGCAAGCTCAAAGATGCAGTCAATGCAGTAGTCATCCTTGGACAGTCTTGGACCCCCATCATACTAGTCACAAGCATCATATCAATAGTATTGGGACAAACAGATGCAATAAAACACGCATGCAGAAAGTCAAATGAATGTTACAGAGCTTGAATTAGACAGCAATGGAATATAACTATCTAGAACTGCATAAATTAACAATTATCGTTGCTTCAAGTAATAGCCGTGCTTTCACAATCTTGCCTACAATGAGATGACTTAACATTTTGTAAGTAAGGTCAAACCAGACAGATAAAAGTTTACATCATCACCCTCAAATAATTCGGTGTCTAGGCTTATAAATACGTATCACCATTCATCATAAAATCCCTTTTGCACCATAATTATAGGCATTCCACATCATTTCAAGGTCTATTGAATGCATATAATGAAGCAATATCCTGAAATTGAAATTGCAGGATATTATATTTGTCCCGGATCATCATCGAAATTGTGTGAATTAGAAATAAAATATTAATATGATTGTGAATTGCATTAGAGAAAAACTGAGACTTTAGACAACCGATGGTATTAACTGCCAGTCAACAGAACAAATTGAAAGATATCAGTTCACTTAGTATTGAGTTCATTCATTGTTTCTGTTCATTTCAAATTTGAAAAAGCACCCAAATGTACCAAAAATGAACAAATGACTGCTTGTTTTGATCTTTTCATCTTTTGCAAGTATCAAGCAAACCTAAGAAGTTTCATTTTTAAGTTTTACTCGTAGTCGTACATTCATAATAGAAAAAGAATGACATGATATCATAAACATCCACTCACTCTCAATGTCCTCAGAGAAAAATGTAAAAAAAAACCCCGGCTGATAAAAGTTCTCGTATATCTTAAAACTGCACCGATAATATATATAAAATAAAGACGAGAGAAATACAATGGCACAAGAGAATTTTATGATTCGAATAGGCTTCGAAAGATAATAGTCAAAAAATAAAAGACAAGGCATTCATTGCGAAGAAATCTGATGGTAGATCATAATGCAGAAAACCTAGACTCTATACCTTGGAAAACAACATGGTCCATGCTTCAGCTGACAACCTCTTCATGTAGCTAGTCATTGAAACTGGCACCTTTCCATGCAAGCATTGTATAGTGGTATTGTCAATATTCCTGCAAAAACGTACTTCATTGCATTTTCACGGTTTCCTCTTTGACACAATAAAATCATTCTGAAGTACTAGTAAAATGGGGTGTACTGAATATGAAAATTAAAGGGTCACATCAGAAGCATAAAATGTTATTAAACCTTCTAGTTCCATATCAAACAACCCAAGAAGTTCCAAATTCTAAAGAGAATAACTTCTTAAGAATCCAAAATGTGGTAGGAATTACTAGGTGAAATTGCCCTTAACGTTGTAACTTGTAAGTAAAAGCATCAATTTACAAAATGAAGCATATAATAATAACTTACGCAGGAATGATGCTATCAGCCCAGTGACGAAGCCAATCTGTAGAAATCCAGAAATATGGCTTCAGAAGTGATTGTACAGGGGCTTCAGAAAGGACTGACCGTACCTCCTGTCGCCTTTCTGTTATGCAATTTAGCTCTGATTCCTTTTTAGACTTGTATTCTTCGCAAGACTTCAGATACATCGCATTTGACTTTTCAACCTCTTCAGAAAGATGGGAAGGAAGAGAACTACCTGTCCATTGCTGGTATACAGGACCATTTATTCCTATTTTCGTTTCACAAGACTGCCCTGCAGTCGCTTCACCACTCTTTGACTGTCGACGAACATACATTAGCATATATGCATCACTGGATGAGAAGGTTTTTACGTGACCGTTGTGATTTGAATCTGACAAATGTAGCTGACCAGAATCTGTGTCATTTTCATCCACATGAACCATTGTTTCCTTTGCAGAAGAGGATTGGTCAACTGGCTCATTTTTTGCAGTTTTAACTTCACGAGTCGAAGCACTACCACCAAATGGTTGTTGACCTAATTTTGATACTTGTTCGTCATCAAATTCCCACCAGTCACCCATGTTCTCATCCTTTATATGGGCAGTGTAATGTCCACTATCAGCAGCAGAACCCTTGTGTATTAATACAGCTGACAAGTCATATATTAAATCCTTATGAGAATGCTCAGACAACCTTTGTGCCATGTTAAGTTCTCCAGGAAAATAAAATGCAGAAGTGATTTTCTTCTTCATTGTAGTCTGCAAACGTAAGAAAAGTATACATAAACAGGATGCAGAAAAGAAAACCAAAAATGTGCTACATTTGCTACAGCTACTTCACTGCTGAGCAATTGACTCGGTCCAACTCACTCACGTGATCACTCTTTGAATAACAATTGCAATCCCAGGAGCACTAGCATTTACATCCTAAAGTTCATTACAATGCACCACCCTAAAGTCTGAAGATCAATCAAAGTATGACCTCTCTCTACACAGAGAACAAATTTAAAGCGAAGAGAAAATGAGCCCACAAGAACTGAAAAATAACAAGCAAAAGATAGCATTTACAGCAGCAGATTAGGAACTTAAATGACCTCATGCCAGTAAAATATTTTATCAATATATCACGTAAAACTATCATCCAAGTAAATGACTGGCAAACATAACAAGCATTGAACGCCAAGGTGATTTTAGAAAGCTCTGTCCCTGAAATATATAATCCAACCAGACCAAATGAAGCAAAAACAATTTCTAAACGAGAAGGGAAAAAAGAAGTAAGCTGGATTACATTTGGCATTAAAATGTTCATAAATAAATAAATAAAAAAAATAAAATTAGATGGCCAATTTAATTAATGAGAATCATAAGACTTGAGAAACATATAAGCAGAACCAGATATTCTTTAAAGTTAAATCAATTACATTGGGAAGGAAAACACAACGCTTGAGCTGAAAATTCAGGACAGCCGGCAATGAACGCAACTTAATGCTTCGGGTAGCATTAACTCGAGTAACACATGCTTCACAAAGATATTGATTATCTCCTTCAAGCTCCTCTATGCTAAGCAAGTCATCCAAGCTCTCATCAAGACTCTTCAAACCCTTAACATTCAACTCCAATTCATAAAAATCTTCTATTTTTGATGAAGCTTCAGACTCATTTCCACAGTTTGAACACCTATAAGTAAGGAAGCATGGAGTCATTTCATTAAATGATCGAAACAAAATATAGTATACTAACAAGTAGAGAGATAAAAGAAGAGCTAAATATAGCCACTGTTTGGTCCCCATTGTTTTAAAACTCTTTTTGCTATAGGATCATTTTCAACCACACAATCACACAATAAAATACTCTGAACATAAAACAAAAGTCTTTCCCTACTTTTCGACCACATATTCTACTAAAAATACTATTCAAAAATCTTTTCTTTTTATTTTTTTCTTTTTTCTTTTTTTTAATAATGGGCAACTAACAGGGGCATAGTAACCAACAGCAAATGAACAAATGGGAAAACAATTAAATTCCATAGGCATGCCAATATTAGTATATTGGCAATGTAAGAAGTGACCCTATTCTCTCCAGATATAAAGAGAAAGCTCAAAAGTATAAAATATGACAACAATTGGGGAAATTCTAAGCATTGTGCAACTACGGCATGGTTAAGGCAATTGACCAAAGGTACCATTACATAGAAGTTCGTCTCGTGCTAAAATTTCTGCATATTTATATATTTGTGGCATGAGAGAAAGAAAAGGATCAAAAGAAAAACTGCAAGTAAATTATCAACCTATAAGTTGCACTCTGGATTGGGATTAACTACACTTCTAGGTAGGATACAATGTAGAGATTTTGGGCAAATATTCCACCCCCACGCCACCCCAAAAAAAAAAAAAAAAAAAAGGAAAAAAAAAAAAAAAAAAAAAAAAAAAAAAAAAAAAAAAAAAAAAAAAAAAAAAAAAAAGAAAGAAAGAAAGAAAGAAAATAAGAGAGAGACACATCTTCGCATGGCCCAATAGCTTTTTCCTATTTTTTAACCACACGTTCTCCAAAAAAATAATTTTCTCCAAGAAAAATCTCTTCCAAACAAACACTTGGAATATGTAGGGGAGCGAATAAGAATTTCTAAGAAATATATGTTGATTCTTATGATTCAATATGTCATAGCGTAGGACAATTTGGTTTTCAAATACAGTTTTGTTTAGGGATCTACTAACAAATCAACTTAGACCATCAATTCAATTCTTGTGGGTTCCTTTCTAAGTAGCAAAGTGAAGGCACACACATTTGAACACATAAATGTTTACCTTTTGTTAACAGACTTTGTGGTAGAATCTCTTTTGATGCATACACAACTAACTATTCTAAACATTCACCCGCACCAAGACCTTTTCAGACGATAGATCATGAGAAAACCTCAAGTAGACAATATTTTGAAAGAGTACAATTATCATTCCATGTAATATTGAGACATCTACGAGCAAAACAAAAAGAAGAAAGATTCCAACATCACGTGGGAAAATTTACAAGTAAAATTCAGTGTAACATACCTGGTTGTGTGCGAGACACCTCCACGGAAAAGATCTTGTACAATTGTTCTGGCCTTTGCATCTTTTGATTGGCTCAAACATCTCTCAAGCAAAGATAGCAGCAGGGTAAGGAACTCGTGGCCATCCTGCTGAACACCATTATCCAGTTCCAGCGATTGGATGAATGGTGCAGGATCCACAAAAGCCTTGTTGCTAGAATGCAACTGTGCAAATAGTCGTGCAAGATTATCTAATACAGGTTGCTCTTTCAAAACATCAGGTTCAATGGAGAAAACGCCATTTCTGAATGATTTATTCATAAACAGGCATTGTAGTATGCTGTTTGCATAGCAAGTTGCACCAAGATTCTTGAGGCCAGCGGGTGAGTCGAAGGACTCTCGGAGGTCCTCGGACGGGTCAGGACCAAGGGCATTCACAATTTCCGAGGTCTTCTGCCACAACCCAGACTTTCGACTTCCATTGGGAGGTGGAATGAGACCACAAAAGCAATTGGGGTTGTCCTTTGTGTTCACACGACATCCTTGACAAACTGGCTTCAATATCATGTAAAGTTTATTTATATCATCTTCAGTCGCCTCACCATTCAAAAGAATTTTCCTACGTTCCACAATTATCATTTTTCAGGGGAAAAAAAGAATAATCATGATAAAAGCTAAGCTGGATTTTAACCCCAGTATAAGTGATAAAACTTAACCAAAAAGTTCTAACTTGGAAAACACGTTATAAAGTTCATCCAAATAAAATGTACATGTACACCTGAAATCAAATTATATATCCAAAATAGGTTTTTTGAGAAAAACCCTAACAAAATTGTGAAGTGTTGTAGCAGCATACTACTAAAGAAAATTGAGCAAAGCATATAACAAAAATGAAGGATAAAAGTTTAAAAACAAAATGGAAACTGTGAGAAGCAAAAATAAATAAAAAATTAAAAATTAAATAATCCGAAAACGCACCCTAAAATTTCAGAAGTGGTGTCGGCATTATCGTCAGGCCTACTTCTCTTATTTTTACTCCTCGTGGCCGGTCGATGATGCCCCATCTTTGTTCACTTTTTATCCTGCAAATCGCACACAAAAATCCCAATAAATTTTTATAATTTCCCAAATATCCTTCTCAATTTCAGCTGATCAGGACGGCGTGATTTCACCCTTGGAGAATTCTATCAAATCAAAATTAAGGGTTTTGAGCGATCACGAACTTATGAGACTGTGCTAATCATTTTTAGGGCTTTATTTGTATTTATGTGAATAATTATTCGTATATATTTTGAGTATAAATAAGATATTTTTTTAGGGGCGCGGGTGACTTTCGATTTTCCCTCTTTTTCCACCCGAGATGGAGGGAAAAATAGAAAAATAATATGAGATGGAAAGATCCAATCAAGTGTGGCAGCATGTACGTACGATGAATACAATAATCTAGTTTATAATGAAAGAGTGTGAATGAATATATTATTTGTTATGGTTACAGTTGTATGGATAGAAGATGAATATTTATTCAATCACGCTAGGGGTACAGAATATGATTCACAGTGTTTTACGGAATGAGTTGTCCACTACTAAAAAAAAGGAAAATGATTGAGGAAAACTGGAAGAAGAAGTCACGATGTTTGGGATTACGAACAACAAACAATTGGACCTTATTTACTAGCCCGCCGTTCCAGTGCCAAAACAAGCTAAGCGACGGTGGCTGGAACGAGCCCACCTAGAAGCCTTCCATATACTACATAGAATTAGAATTCCCCTGTTTTCTACAAAACCCGTGGAAACAATTTCTTCATTCTTAATCTTTTTGCATTTTCTTGCTTCATTTTTATACCCTAATTTCACTTTACTACTCCCAAAATGGCTTATAGGCTTCAAGGATTGGAGTTTTAGTTGTTGTCTAAGTTCATCACTGATGAGGAATCTGTCATGAAAAAGGAGAAATTAAACAAAAAAAAAACTAAGTCAATTTCTGAGTTGTGTTTCCCCCACTGAATTTCCCCGCAATTTTGGCAATTATGGAGTTGGCTATCTCGAAACAACGATGACGAAGACTCCATTTGAGACGTCGGGAGTCGATTTTGAGTTTTGCCGCGAAGCTGTGGCGCAAAAAAAAGACAGGAGCCAATTTTGTGGGTTTCCAATTTGGGGAAAAGTATTTTGAGCTGGAAGAATGTTGGAATAAATAAGTAGCTATCACGTCTCCAAGAATTAATTTTTCTGTAAACTACCTATGAACCATGCCCTGTACACATAGCTTTATTTTATGTTATTAGACTTAGCCAATTTTGCCATCTTTGAACAATTTTGTTTTTAATAGCAAGATTGTTTAACATGCAATTGGGCACGTGCTCGTAATTGTCATTGTATTAATTCCCTGCTACATTTACGGATGGATAGGTAAGAGATGAACTTGTTATACTTGTCAAATAAGCTGCCAATTTTGATGTATGTGGACACTTTTACTTTTGATAGAAGGATCATTTAATGTGCGATTGAAAACTTGTGTTGATGAATATTTGATAGAGGAGAGATGCAATCAAGTGTGGCGGCATCTACATGTATGTATATATACATATACATGCTATCGACAATCATAGTAAAGTCTGATTGGTTGAGGCTTTACTAAAATCAAATAGTTTGTTTGAATTCACTTCTTATAGGAGTCCAAATCCAATAGGTAGAAGATGAACTTCTTATAACACTTAAGTACAATGCAAGATTTTAGCTCGCCCTTGCCTATTTGGTTGCCAATGCATCTCTTGTTTCAGCTGAATCTCCAATTGAAGACCAATCTCATCATTCAAATTAACTATGTCAATGAAGTTGCCATTTGCTAATTCTAACTTTTATGAACACTTTTTGCTTTTAATAGAAAGGTCGTTTAACACTCGTTTGGACACTTAGCCCCCGTTTGGCCCCCATTAAATTCCATTACATTACATTCCAATTTCTCTCTCCTATTTTTAACCGCACAATTTTCTATAAAATAATATTACACGTGAATCGAAAACTTTTCATTTTTTTTAACCATTCATTTTTCAAAAAAATACTATTCCACCCATTTTCGCTTCTAGAAAATGGGGGTCAAACGGGGGCTTAATTTCAAAAAATATAGTTTCATACTTAGGTAGGCTGGAAGGCGACACGCGTATAAATACACACTGGTAATGTACTTGAAAAAAAAAAAAAAAAAACTGGGATCATAAGAAAATAAAGAACAATGCTACTTGTGCATGGGAAATTTATAGGAAAATGTATAGATTTTCACTTGGCAAATTTTCATTGTTGGGCCAAGAAAAAAAAAGTCATACAGGTGCTCCATCTCAGTATCCATAGAGCCAGAGGGCAATTTAATCTGCACAAACTGTTTAACTGTAAAATAAATTATACTTATTGTGAGATCAATTACTTGTTTGGAAATTGTGTTAAATTATAATTACTTTTGCATCGTGTACTACAGTTAGAGAATAATGGCAAGGTAAAGTTTGATAAAAATGAATTGTGTTAGAATTGGATTGTGACCCAAATTTTTATTGAGTATTTTATTGGAAATACTATCGTTGGAGTATATTGTGAGTTGGTAGTAGATTTTGAGAAGTCTTGAAAAAATAAAAAAGGACAAGGAGAGTTTTCTCGATTTTATTAGTTTCTTTCCTATTTTAAGTCAAATACTCCGTTATTGATTTTACCTATTGCACTAGGACCTTACATTGTGTTAGACTTGTATTTGAATTAATTCTCCTAGTATGTTAAGGATTGTTGTATTATAAATATGCGTATTTGATCAACTCAGATAGCAATGCAAGGGGGTTGGGTTAATAGAGAGACTCGCAAATAGAAATGCCGGAGGAGAGTCTCATAAGATTCGGCGTAACATATTATAAATTTTTACTCTTGATTGTAATAAATTCTCCATCTTTGTTCGTGATTTTTCTTGTCTTGGGCTTCTGTGTAAATTTTGTATTATTGTGATTGATAATATTTATAGTGCCCATATATTATCTTTAATTTCTAACAAATGGTATCAGAACTATCATTGATTTTTTAACAAGTGATATCAGAAACCAAGGTTCAACGAATTCTAGAAGAGCCGTTTTGGTTTCGCATAAGAGATAGATTTGATCTACTTGGAACGAGGTTTGATTGTTTCGAGAAGGCAAGATTGAAAGTTGATATTTTCGCTTTTGGATTGCAATTTTTTTTTTTCATAACACATTTTTTTGGACGCTAAAAGATATGTTATGTAAGAATCGAGCTATGATAAAGGGACCAAGAAAGTCTCGGTTATATGTCTTAGAAAGCTCAATGAGTCGATACAGTTATCACTAAATTGAAGAAAAGAGGTTCGGTGAGGCTCATTTGATCTTTATGGTTTGATATGCATTAACTCTAATGGAGTTTGTTGTGATCGGGTTTCTCGTGATGATAATTTGAGTAATTTGGTATTTAAAGAACTTGTTAGTATTAAGGGATAAAATATCATATCGAATAAATATGAAAACATAAACTAACATATAAGACCTTGGGCTACTTTCTTGATATGATTGACTTTTTTAAAATGGAACACCAAGTCTTAACATGGTATCAAAGCTTATTAAACTCCAGCGAGCGATTTGATCCAATTAAGACACAATAAATGAGCATACGAAGTTCAAGATTGGTCTACTAAAACGAGTCACTATTTTGCGATGACATTTTAAGCGATAAAATTCACATAGAATAAAAATGAAAACATATTCCAACTTATAAGGTTTTGGGTTACTCCTCTTAATAATGTTGATCTTTTAAGATGAAAATCAAGTCTTAACAGTTACTAGCTTAGCTGTGATCTTGGTAATCTTGTTGCTCGTTGTAATAATTCAAGTAAATTTGATATGCAAGGTAATCCTACGGATAAGCGATGCTTGAATTTAGCCCTCGTTTGAGCCCCATTATTTCTCATTACATTAAAGGGGTGTTTGATAGGTATTTTTATGTAAAAATGCATTTTAGAATAGTAAATTGATGTGAAATGTATGGTTGAAAAATAAGAAAAAAATTTGATTTACGTGTAATATTATTTTAATAAAGAATGTGTGGTTAAAAAGAAGAGAGAGAAAAACGTATTTTAAAGAAAATGACTACCAAACGGGGCCTAAATTAAAATTTTCTCTTTCCTACTTTTGACCACACAATTTTCTATAAAATAATATTACACGTAAATTAAAAACTCTTCAACCACTCATTTTTCAAAAAATATTATTCATCTCATTAAAATATACAAATAATGGGGCTCAAACATCCTCTTAATTCATAGTTGTTGAGATTGCTCTAGTTGGGCTTTATAAAAGAGGTGAAGTAATTTGTTTGAAATGTTTTGTTTGGAGAGATTTTGGAGTTTGTTGAAATGTTAAATTTTATTTTTTTGCAGTGGAATTTGTATTAAGATGGAGTTTGTTATAATTGAATTGTGGCATGAATTTTTGTTGAGTATTTAATGGGAAATATTGTTGAAGTAGTATTGGAAGTTGATAGTAAAATTGGAGAAATCCTGGAAAAGTAAAAGACGACAATGAGAAGGTTTCTCAATTTTAACAATTTTTTCTCCCCTATTCAACTCAAATGCTCCCTTATTGATCTTACCTATTGCAGTAGGACTTTACCTTGTGTTAAACTCTTGTGTATATTAATTATCTTAAAGGAGTGTATTCAATTGAAACTTTTAATGATTTTTTGGAATTTAAAAAGCTTAAGGGTATTCAATGTAAATTTTTTGAGACTCTCTAAAAGTATTAATGTATTTAATCGAGACTTTTTATAGACATTTAAGAAGCCTCCAAAAGTCACGGATTATTTAATTGAGACTTTTACAGACTTTTAAAAAGTCTACAAAAGTTACGGTGTATTCAATTAAAATTTTTTAGAAGTATCTATTAATATTAGTTTATTTAAATTTTAATGAATTTTAGAAACTTTTATGAAAGTCTCTGGAGTGCTAACTTTTAAACAGAAAGTACTCATATAAAATCTCAAAATTTGTCTTCTATTAATCATGAGATTTTGGGAGATATATATATATATATATCATTCTTCCCGTTTTCTTTCTATGAACATTAGATGTATGATTAAATTTTTTTTATTGATTATATTTATTTCCATTTATCTTTTTTCTCTTATTATTGTTTATCTCTATTTTCTATATATATAAAAAATAAATAAAAATTAAGCCCCTGTTTGGCTCTCACTTTCTCTAAATTTTAATGGTTGGAAATTTTTTTTTTTTAAATGTGTGGTTGAAAAAGAATAATTTTTTTTATTTACATGTAATATTATTTTATTGAAAATTATATGATTGAAAATAAGAGAGAGAAAAAAATGAAAGAGAATGGGGGCTAAATTGGATTCTTGCAACTTTTTTCATTTTTTCATTCATTTTTGTGAAAAATATCTATTTTTTATTAAATTATAAATTTTCACATGAAAAATTTATAATTAAATTTAAATATATTGATTTTTATTTATTTTAAAAGTATATTATATATGTATAATTTTGATTATTATTTATTTAATTAAGGTCTTAAATTTTTATTCCTTTATTTATTTTTCTAATTATATGGGAAGAAGGGGAAAGAAAAGGAAAATTGTCAGCACAAACATTTCATATGTGAGAATATCACACTGTCGTAATAAATTCAAGTGAATTCTTTTTCAAATGAAATTCTTCAAAAGTCTTTTAAATTTTACAAAAGATTATAAAAATGAAAGTTCATAACTCTACAAAAGATTTCTACCAATTTCATATAAATTTATAGAAGATTTACAAAATTCACAGAATTTATCATTTAAATAACGTTCATCAAAATTTTCAGAAATCCTAATTGAATACACCTCCCTTAGTATGTTAGGGATTTTTGTAATATAAATTTGTGGTTGATTACACTTATTTATTTGATCTACTTATAGAGTGACATAGGAGGGTCTTAGTTAATAGAGACTTGAAGATAGAGATATCAGGGACGAGTCTTGTGAGATCCCGCATAACATATTGTAACTTCATACTTTTAATTATAATGAGTTTTTCGTCTCTATGTATGTGATTTTTTGTGTCTTGCATGTCCATGTGAATTTTGTGTTCTTATGATTGGTACTTTTCATATTGTCTATACCTTGTCTTTAATTTTTAAAAAGTGATATCAAAGTTATCACCGATTTTCTATCAAATTGCTCTCCTATTTTAGCATGCTAATTGTTAGAAAATCGACGAACCACCTGTTAGAAAATTGAGCCAATTGTAAATATTAAAGACAAGATAATGGAGAAGGTGAAAATAACAATCAGACTAATACAAAATTTGCATGGAAGCCCAAAAGGGAAAAATCAAAATCACGGGCAAAGGCGGATAATTCACTATATAAAAAAAATAAGACATTACAATATATTACAAGGGATCTCACAAGACTCTCCAATGATATTTCTATCTGCAAGTCTTTCTCTATCAACCTGGATCCCCTCGGATCACTTTTGGAGTCGATCAAATAAAAATGTGCAATATGTTTATAATACAAGAATTTCTAACAGATTAAGAAAATTAACATAAACAAGAGTCTAACACAAGATGAGGTCATATTAGAATAGATAAAATCGATAACGAAGTATTTGAGTTGAAAAAAGAATCCAAAATTTGCCAAGAATGTCTTTGACTTCTTCAAGATATAATTTCAACTCTCAGTAGAACTCACAATAGTATTGTGGTCACAACCAAACTCTAACACTAACCAAACATAACCAGTGTATTGCTCATTCACCAAAATATGAAACTTTTATAGTCTTCATCTGCATGTGATTTTGACATTATTTCACCCCACGGTAAGAAAAAGTGCATATTTTATTTCTATGGAAAATTTCACATTTTATTTTTATGGAAGGGAAAATTGAGGATTTCTTGCTTGTATATGTCTGTGTATATACACATGTATTCAAGTTTCCTCACTAATGGAGAAAGACTCAAACTTTGCAATATTGAGTTCGATTTCAAAACACTGTCTCCATTAAAAGAAGTTTTAGAATTTTTGAGTTTCTCAAAACATCTTTTTGAAAAAACTTGTGTTTTCTAGTTCGTTTGATATTAACAGTTATGAGCAATTTGAAATTGTAAATCGTAAAATAAAATAAAAAAGTATCAAATCGTGGGTTACTTAAGATTATTGGTTCACTTATTTATTATTATTTAAAAAAAAAATTTAATCGACCTTTAAATTACAATATATAGTTTTACAATGAAATTACGTAAAATAAAAATATTTACATACTTGTGCTTGGAATGTATGAATTCATAATATAACCTACATGCGATGCATCCCAATGGTGAAAATCATAGATTAATAATTTTTTATAGTTCTGTTATGGAATTCTTGCTATTTGACTTACAAAAAATAATTTTTTGTTTAACTATGATAATAATTGTCATAATTAGCATGAAGCAATTAATGAAATAATATCGTGATTTAAAACTTTAATTCTAAAAGATATTGTGTCAATTTTGATTATACAGGTTATTGGGTTGTGCTGACATTTGACCCAATATGAAGGTGGCTACGCTCATGTCGGAGTTTCTATTAAAACAAAATCCACCTTTTGCTGTATGCATATCTTTGTATCCGTACAAAGTGATAATGCAAATGTGCATTCCCTCTCAGCTTCCACTCTTACAGGGTCCATTGATTGAACATTTCTTCATTTTCTACCTAGTTTTAGATTCTGAATGGATTTGGAATATAAAGTGAATGCATTTCATTTTCTTTCTGAATTATCACTTTCCTCTCTGGTTTCTTTCTGTGGGGGATGGGTTTGGTGGAGGTTTTTCTCCATTTTCTTGACCTTTCAAGTGTTGAAGTTAACCCATTCAAGAACAAAATTTTATAGGCTTGTGGCCATGGTTGTATCTATTAATCAATATATAGTGCAAGCACTTCAGTTGTGCAGGAAAATTAAGAAATGTTAATGCTGCCTTTTTCTTAAAAAATAAAGAAATGAGACACAAATGTACTATGATATTTGCAGAAACACACAACTTTAGTTACTCCAAAGCACTGGCTAAACCATAAGTGGAATAAGCAATTATAATTAACAATTTTTTAAGTACGAAATATCAAACTTTGCAGGTGAATGTCGACTCAGACGCTTTGTCTACGTAAGATTGCTTTGTCTCGTGGGGCTGACAAGAAAACTTAGATTCCGTTTGATTGGAGTGAATTACATGGAAAATGTCACATTCGAGGAATTTATTTTCTACTTTGGTTGTTAGATACGAAAGTGGAAATGGAGTTCGAATTTCAAGTTACAAACACTTAAAGCATGTTTTAGGCCAATTCCGTGGAAAATGCATTCCTATGTGTTTGATGGCTTTTTCTTTTCCAAATTATATGAAATTGATTTGCCTTTTCCACCCTTGCAATCAAATGGACCCTTCGTGCATTTATTTTATTTTAAGTGCTTTGAAGGGTTTTAATTCTTGTTTTGGGACCATTATTTGTGTTGAAGTTAACCGTGGATGACAGTTTTAGTACATTGGATACCACATTGATAGTGAATAAAGAAGAATTAAAATTTGAGTGATTGTCATGGTGTTTGACGTGACTTTGGTGCTGTGGCCCAATAATTCATGTTTTATCAATAGTCATTAATGAGAATTTAAGCAGAAAAGAAATTACTTACAATCATATATACAGTTGGAGCACTAATTTCTAAAGGGCCTAAACTGATACTACCCCAATTCAAAAATCAGTGCAAAATGTTGCCACTTTCCACCTATAACTATACTGACCCTATTTTCTAATTTTCTTGAAGAACAAGAGGCAAAAGGAAAACAATAAACAAAAGTTAAAGAAAGAAAACTAACCCCGTAATCCCATTCTATTACTTGATAGAATCAGCTAAATATATGCTAAGTTTGATGATTTCGTACCAAACCTTCTTCTTGTAAAGGTGCAATCCTGATAAGAACTTCTTGAGGCGGTGGGATTACTGGTGTTGATGTACTGGCCTGGTTGCATCCGACTATTTTTTGACAAGTTTCAATTAGGCAGTGCCTGCAAGTAGGGCAAGACGAGTGTGAATTCAACCATTTATCGATGCACCGGACATGGAATCCATGGTTACACTTTGGTAAGACTCGAACGCGTTCTCCAGCAGCGAAATCTGAGAGGCATATTGCACACTCAGTGTCCAAACCTGGAAGATTAAGATCACCGGTGTAACTTATTATAGGGAATGTTCTGAGAGCCTTTTTCTTTATTCCTGTGTTGGCTAGACGAGCAGATAAGGTATCATCAGAGGATACTAAACTTGAGCACCTTAGTGCACACCTTATGATGGAATTTAATCCGAGCGAACAAATTAAGGCACACAGGAGGACTGATAGGACCATTACAACATTTGCGTCGAACGTGTTGTCCCTAGTTTCTGGACTAGACGGGGAAATTGATGTTGTAGTTGATATCGGAGGTGAACTATAGAGAGGAGCTTGGAGTAACAATCTTCTTGAGTGGACATTTTTCAAGAATTCTTGAATGATAATAGATGAATGGGAGTAGATAAAAGGGGCAGCAACCATTTCTTCTTTGTACTGTGTTTAGAATTTTGTTGACGGAGATTCTCTTCTGAGGTGGTTGCACTTGTGGGAATATATATAGGGGGAAAATGTTAATAGTGTGGATCAACTTTTGGAGTATTAAATGACCCCAAAAATGTATTTTCAAACTAATCCTGATTTTGTCAATATTCTAATGTTTGAAGCCTTCTCAAGGTTTTTTAAATTTGAAGTTCCACTAGGCTTTCCAATCAAACATGGGCCCGACCCACTTTCTCGATAGTAATGGGTCGTGGCCCCGGATCCTAAGAAGGGAAGAGGAAGTTTCCTCTTTTATAGTGACATGGAGAAATGGAAAAACAAAAGAAAGAATTTCTAGTAGGCTGATGCTAATTTTGTTTCTTAAACTTGAAAATAAGCTCATAAGTGTTTCGAGTTAAGATGGGCAAACAATAAAGCTCGAAAATCAATCATAAGCGTTTCGAGTTGAAATGTTACAATTCATGTTATTAAAGATGAGCATGAGAGATCAAAACTCCTGCTAAGGCAATCAACAAGGTGCCCAAATAAATCACGAAAGTTCGTATTAGAACACAAATAATTAGCACGACCCCATGTTCTAAACTTAGTAAGTTGTCCAACACAAAAGATGGTTTCTGCTCTAGTAGGATGATGTCTACTAGCGTTGCAAAAGCATATCAAACATTTAAAACAATAGACAATATATTCGCCGACTTCGCAAAAAAGCTAATGAACTTTTGTTTAGATAACAAAATATAAATGCCACTCGTTGAAATTATGTCGGATTTCATCAAGTCTAAATAACTAACTTGACTATTTGGATCGAATTTGTACGACTAAATAAACTAATCAGTAACTACTATTACAACACAACACTTTAATAAAACCGCATTATAAAGATTTGAGTTACGTTGTGAGATTACAATACCTAACAAACATTGAATTAAGATGTGCTTTACAGCTGAAGTTACATGTTTAGCAATCTAATTAGATCTTCTACCATAAAATAATTAGCAGTTGTCTAGTGGTAGCCTTATCAGGTTGAGAACGTTGTTTTCAACCAAGCTAGTTACCCCTCTAAATAACACGTAAAGTACATTCCTATATACTTTTCTAGATATTTATACATACATATATTTACAAAAAGTAATCTCAGGCTGCTAATGGCTGTTGTGCATTCATTTCAATCTCTTATTTTATCACCTTTTTTTAACCAGGCAAAGCGTTATAAATATTAAACATGTTGCCTGAAAGAAAGCTGCGTGCTTATATATTCTAATTGTGCCTAAGATTTGGATGATATATCCTTTTTTATATAATATAATATCTTTTTGAATAAGATTGAACTACTTGAAAGTTAAAAGGACTTATTTTTTGCAAATTGTAGATATCTCGGTATCACGAGGTGTAATATACGGATATGTGGGGTGGGGTGGGGGGGTTGGGTTAATTAAGATTTGCTTTTGTATTTTTCATTAATAAATACTAACATGGAGCTGGACCCTGTCTCTTTGTGGGTTGGATTACACTAGTTAACAATGTTGCTGTGTAGACCCACACAGCAAAAGACATACATTGAAGCACTTTATACTGATTAGTGGTAAAGATTATTGATGAACGTGTTTAGTTCTATATGAAAAGTTCAAAGACACATGAAGAGAGTAGAATTTCCAGAATACTCCTAAATTAACCTGTATAGAAATTCCAAAAATAGTTGAAAAATATAGAGTTAATTCGATTAATAGCAATAAAAAAAATAAAAAAAAATATTATGGACTGGAAACATGTCAACTCATATGTGTTTACCAACTCAGACATAACATGTTTTATTATATGTAACAATCTTAAATACAAGAAGAAAACTAGTGATTTTAGGATGAATTATTTCTCTACATGCATGCATCCAACCTGATAAGAGAATTCAAAAGGGTATAGCTTTATTATGTTTATGGATTTTCTTATTTATCATTACATTCTGTTTATTTTCTTATTTGTCATTAAATTATGTTTATAATATATATGCGTAATTCTAAATGAAATCGAACAATATATATTGCTAAGTAATAAATTTCAAATCGAATAATCATGAAATAAATAATCAACGTATATAAACTTGGATTACTCTTCTTAATAAAGTTGAACATTTTAAGATGAATTCTCAAATTTTAATACGGTACCAAAATTCATTAAGTTTAAAGGGGCAACTTGGTTAATCTAAATCTCATACTAACACTCGAATTTCTAGATTGCTGTGCTCAAATAAGAAACCATCTTGATGGCGTGTTAAGGGACAAACACATCGAATAAAATCGAAATAGATAACCAACATATAAGAATTTGTGTTATCACTTTTAACAAGATTGACTTTGATGGATAAATAAGATTTAACCTTCACTTCTTCTTTGCCTAGGTGCATATGCTCGAACTCTTTGGTGAAAAATTAGTACTTAGGTAGGGAATCTTGAAAAGCTAGGTCTCCAGTATAACTCGTCTTCCTTCAATGGAGCACTGTCCAACATAATATAATCCACGTTACACGATAATAATTGTTTCTTTTGTGAGGGAAATATATATAATGCATTATTGGTTACGAGATAATAATTGTTTCTTTTGTGAGGGAAACATATATAATGCATTATTGGTGCTGAAATACACAATAATATCCTTTGCCACACGTCCCTTATTTATAGCATAACCCAAAAACCACATGGCCTAAGCCTTAAAGTAGCAACAACCCGTAAAACTTTTTATAAATTAGTCTCCTTTTAGTCACATATATTTTTTTATGAGTTCCATAATTATTTTATTTTATGTATAAACAAATAAAAGTAAGGCCCAATATGGTAATTTGCACTTAACTTTCTCAGGATTGCAAAGTGGCTTATCTCTCTTCTTGTGGTGGGACTGCAAATATACATTACCAATTTTTCTCAATATCGCTAAGCATCACAAAACACAGCAACACAATCTAAAATGTGGATATTCTACAGTTCTGTTTCTTTATGTTATTAGTGAGCATTGGCATTGGTTGAATTTGAGAGGTCATGTTCTTTTTAAAATGAGCATATTGCGATGTTCTAGAAAATTAAAGTGACACACAATATATAATGCGCGAGCACAAGGGTTGTTAAAATTTGCTAATCGACTGCCATGAAAAACATTTACAAGGCCGGAAACTCCCTCGTTGAACTTTTGATACAACTCTATTTTTGCAATTTTTAAAGAGAATATTGAACTAGTCATACGAAACTTTCATAGGGCGCTCTCTCTGCATATAGTTATGAAAAGGCCTTAGTGATAGACTAAGTATTTGAACTAAATTTATATAATTCCAAATGAGTTAAAGTGATAGAATTCCATGCCTTTTGGCTTGATTTGATAGCCAAAAACCAAAAGCATTGCCTTATCAACTCACTTTTGATATAGTAAATCAAGCCAAAAACCAAAAGCGTTTCCTTATCAACTCACTTTTGATACAGTTCTATCACATTTACAAACACATTTTTTTTTTCTTTTTCGTTTTCAATTTGTTAAAAATCTTGTGATCTTCTCTAATTGTCCAAAAATTAAATATGTTGGTAATTTTTTTTTCTATATATTATTCCTTCAAGATTGTGGGCCCGTTTGGTAGGGATTTTGAGAATTGATTTTTTGACCGTTAGAAGAAAAGTGGGGTCCACATATGGGAGAAAAAGTCAAAAATTACAGCTTGAATAGTAAAATAACGGTCAAAAAATCAATTTTTTGGGGCAAAAAATCCCTACCAAACGGGGCCTGTATCTTTTGATTTTTACTTCAAAAGATTTATCTTTTGAAACTTTAACTTTGAAATGGATTAAGGTAAGTATTTCATGCAATATAACATTTTGCTTTTAGTAAAAAATAAGATTACGGTGCTACTTGCTTTATATTCATGTTGCCTACTAATGTCTAATTACATAAGACTTTTCTTGGTATTCGCCCTGCATAATTGAATAACTTTCTTAATTCAGAAGAGAGTAACATATTTGAAATACTCCTTTAATTAGCAACGCGTCTTCTTAATTTTGAAGTTAATTGATTATTTGATCAAAGCAACAAAATCACCATTCAGGCAGTAGCAAGAACCTTGCATTTTCTACACTTCACAAGTTACACAAAATTATGTAATTTTGGAAGTAAGGATTGATAATAAGCTTAAAATTGTCCTTAAAGACTCCTCACAAATAATATAATTACACAATAAATCAATGTGGTGGATTTGCTCTAGTGACGCAAAAGATATTGCACGACTAGCGAATTATGGCACGGCCACATGTTGCATTTGCACTTTATAATGAACATGATTATTCACTATATGTGCAATATATATGTATTCAACTTTGTAATTGAGTCAACTAGTGATGCCCATTTGGAAACGTGATTAAAAAAGAAGATACTATAGGATTTTGTCGTAAGAGGTACTTGACCGTACATGCAATTGGTAAAGGACATCCACTTCAATCCTCCCAACACTAGAAAAGTTTTCCTAGAACCACTCACTAGTTGTATTGGAATGAAAGGCATTGAGATTGCAACAGATTAACACCAATATATGCAAGTGGGAGGATTTGGACCACTTTGCAAGCCTTGAAATCATTGGAGTCATGTTTGGTTCATGATATTAAAGAGTATTGCACTGTACAACATAGTAAATAAAATGAAATTTTTTTCTTTCGTTATATTTAGTACAATCCGACGTACCAAAAACTTCATTAATATCTCTATGGTTTTACATATAAATATTACCATTGTAAAAATTAATGTTTTCGATGTAATGTATTAGTGGTTACAACATCGTATTATTGTTGTTCAGATATGTTTTGCTTTTACTCTACTTAATATTGTATAATACATTTTATAAAACATGCCATGTATAAATAATTCTGAATGAACATTCATATGATAGAGATGATAACATTCCACTAAGTCTTTGAATCTATCATATAACACTTAGTTAATTTGATGAGTACAAGAAATAACATTGAATTTATTTCTTTGTTTCTTTAACAATGATTCTCGAGTAGTTGGTATCAATCATA